CTGCGGTTAAACGAATGAAACTAAGCATATTAAGTTGCTTGAGTGCTCCGCGAACTGCGGTTACTGTGACCAATCAAAGTCACTAAGGATTTAAGGAAGGATGTGGCTTAACTCAGTGTAAAGTGACAAAGAAAGCACTCTTAGTATTTCTGAGAATGGGAAATTTGAGAACTGACTTGTCAAACAAAATGCCTCACCGAAAGTAAATCGAAGAGAAACGTGTAAATCGTTAATTTCTATCATAAGCGCTTAGGTGTGGAATAAACACCATATGTATTCTGATCTTTCTAAGCAGACTCACGTGGTAGTAATTGTACACACATTTCAAGCGCCCCGCAGTCTTCGTCGATTGTCTTTTCAACGAATCCTGATTCCGATTTGCTGAACTGTACGAAACACAAATGTGAGTATGTGCTGACATAGATGATGAATTTCAGCGGTGTATGAAATATTTGCTTGACGTACCGAACTTGAGGCATCGACCCTTATGACATATTCAAAGTTTGTGTTTGGTGGCACATTATATGTGTCTGCGAGAGTGGTATATTCAAAAATAAGTTGGCAAGCCTACTTTGGTGAGAATCAGCAAAGGCAACAGAAAGAAGCAGAACTGTGACTAGCACTGACTTCATGTTTGCTTGATACGATAGCTTAAATTCCTGCATGCGAACTCCGGTTAAAACTAAACTAAGGACTTCAAACCAGGGATTGGCCACAGTGATATTGTCTGCATGACCAGAGCCTTGAGAGATTTTATAGGTTTTTCAGTCGTCTACGATCGTCCAATCATACTCGCCATGTGGGTGTGGCCTTATTGAGAATGTTGACGATATTTTTTTTTTTACTGCTGTAGGGTTTTCGTGAAGACAATCACTTATTCATTCTTACTAGTGCAGCCATTAGATGCGGGCATTATGGACAACAGCAGTGTCATACGATGTTTTGGGTGATTTGATGGTTTGGCTGTCGGTTCACATGTTTTGTTCTTTTTTGCGAAAATAATTTTACGGGTGGAGTACAGACGTGGCTTTTCCAGACCAACAAATCCTTAGACGTTGAAGACGGAGGGATAGGGTGGGAGAGATAAGGAGTAAGAAATGGAGAGATTGAAGACCTTGAGACAGAGAGTTAGAACTAGATAGAAAATCGTCTCATTGTAAAAGTATCGGTGCAGAATTTTCGGGTAAGCATGTCATTACTCCGGCACTGAACGAGTAATTTTGTATAAGTGTAGACGGCTAATGGGTTTGTATGTGATTCCTAAGTACAGTATGAGCCTCTCTTTCTGTAATTCGGTCTCTTGGCACGCAAGATATCCTGCCAGAGTTCGTTATGCGGAAAGTTGATATGTAAAAACAAGAGGTATGTCGGAAGCCACAGCACATGGGCGTAAACATTTCTCAGCAATTAATTCAGAGCGAAGGGAATGGACAAGATAATTTTCAATTAGATCTGTATACTGCTTAAGCGTCGTGAGGTGTCGAAATAATATCAGCCAAATTGTATGAAAATCGCCTACAGCAAACAAGTGCATAAGGTATAGACGGCTGACATATTTTTATTAAAATCGTGCGAGAAAATATCAGAACAATACTTAGTCGGAGAGGACATGTCGTCATCTTTTAATTTATAGATCAGGAACTGAGCCCCGTGAAGGAAGCGTTTATAAAGAATCCCTTATGAAAATCCACGAATTTAAGTTAAAAGTGTTTCGATGTGAAGGCAAATGGGAGATTTAATGAAGTACTTACACTAAGATGCCGCAAAGATTGTATCTTATATGTTAAAATTCCAGGAGATTCAAGGACGGGAGGGACTGCAGACGAGAAACACTAGACTTAATTCTCATTAGGAATTTAAAGACATGAAGAGCCATGATCCAAGCCATATCTTAGAAACTGGAGGCGGAAGGTAGCTAACAAAAATATTAGCAGCCTACTTTGCATCTAAGCAGCCATTCGGCGATCTCAAGTCATAAATGGTAAGTTGGAAGGAATGAGAGCATAAAATGGAACCTCGAGTGACGCCTCAGTCATTCCGAAGATCAGCAGATTTCCACTTGCCAGGCTGAACAAATTGAGTTCGAACGGTGAAAGAATATGAAGGTCAAGAGTAAAATCCGGCCAGGAGACCCACACAAATTTTTGCTCAGAAGAATGCGTCGTGGTACGATATTAAAGACCAGTACTTATCAACAGTTGCATATGCGTACGCATAGCAGCCCTAGTGTAGATCTCGTAGGACAATATAAATTAAAAGAGGAACTGCCTCCACGAAACAAAAGTCAAATGCACACGAACCACAGTAAGCGAATGTTAATAAGATGTGTAAACGAGGCTCGAACTTGAGACCTGTTCGTTAGAAGTGCACAGAGCTGCTGGTTTGACTCAAGAGAGAGAGAGAGCCCTAAGGCACAACAGGATGAATGATTTCCCTAGAAACCAACAGTGAGCGTTCTTATACCATTCCGTATTTTTGATGGCAGTACATTGTACTGTCTCGCAGAACGTCACACTTAACCACATTAAACGGCAAAAGCCAGTCCTGTGACAATTTCTCGAGTCGATCCAGGTTTGTCTGCAAGTACCCTTTGATAAATTCATTCTGATTGAGCCTCCAACGCTGCATATCATCAGCGAACACAGCGACATCAAAAAGTAGTTCATTGGCGCACTCGTTAACGTATTTGAGTAACAGGGTATGGCCAAGGACGGAACCTCGACGAACACTGTTTTCAATCGCCATTCTATCCGACTGCATGTCTTCGCCGTAGACAACTTGAGAGATAATTAAAAGCCTTCGAGTCCACCTAAAGAGATTACCAAGTATTCCTGCTCTTCTTAGTTTGTACGGGACACGCAAGTTGACTGTTTTTTAAGGTAGACATAGACAACATTCACTGCATTTCCGCCATTAACTGTCCGGGAACAGCATTTTAAAAAATAGAACAAGTTTGTAAAGCATGCCTTTCATAAATATTTAGTTTTCGGATCCTTTTTGGGTGTTGCATGCATTTTAAGGAGTCAAACGTTATCAGAATCTAAAGAGAATCACCTAATATTGTAGTGTTATTTGGAGCAAATTGTCAACTTAAATAAGATGAAGACTGAATGCGTAATTTGAATAAAGGCATTGAAACTAGCACGTGGATTTTTAACTACCAGGTCGCGAGTTCCAGCATAAGTTATTCCACACAAGGGGCTTAAATATGAAGGCCTGATTGCAACTTGTCCTTACCTTCTCCACGTAAAATAGAGTTAGTAGAGTAGGATACTTGAACCCTAACTGCTGGGAAAATAAGCCAAATAGCTTGATCAGGCCGTGTCTTCAGCAGTTCACTCACAGTGTCCCCTTGAAAATGGACACTGAGGAAAAAATTTTTTTCTTTGCAGCGGTCACTGAGGCGGGTTAGATCGGTCTATCGGCAATATTATTTGCAATAAACTCGTCAGGATACACATTTGGTTCGGATGACATCATGATGTGCACAGTTGTACACATCCAACTTGCGCTTAAATGCCCCGACGTGTGTAGATGGGACAATATCTGCAGACAGAGCATTCCAGGCTGCAATCCCTCTGTTGGAAAAGAATAACCTACGCTCGTCCAGTCCGTCGCTGGTCACAGGTATTTTGGGTGGATGTCTTCGAAGGTTTGTTGTGGTGGCTAATACAAATGAGTCTGCAGATAAAAGACAGCAGACCTAGCTGCACATAATATCACCAACTCGCAAAATGTTGAACTTTCTCACACTTAACGGTAAAAAGCGGCCCAGGTAATTTCTCTTTTATGCGTTCACATCCTAGCCATCCGTAAGTCAGAGGAAAATATCCGAAATTGGGTAACCCTGTTTCGTAAGGTAATGGACTTTAGCTACCAACGAATTTAGTTTCGCTCCTTTAGATTTTCTGAAGGATGTTAAGGCCCATACCGACTCACTGCTTCCTGTCTGGGATAGCGAGCTCTGACTATGGCTGCACCAACGTCAGGAAGACTTTAGCTAATCAGTCCTCATCGAAGGTAGAGAAGCCCGCTTGACGCGTTACAGGGCTAACATCGCGGGATTGGCAATCTTATAGCAGCGGAGTCACGGCTCAAGTGATGCCGTGACCCACACAGTTCGGTAATTCTGGCCTTCCTCTTCCTGCCATGCTACGCCATTTGTGTGTTAAACATTGCGACTCGGGAGGAGGATCGACCGACTTGAAAAATGACGCACTTAATCAAATTAAACGGCAAAAGCCAGTGCCGTGACCATTTCTCGAGCCGGTTCGGGTTTGTCTGTAAGCGCCGTGTGCTTAATTCATCCCGGATGTGCCTTCAATGCAGTAAAGAAATGCGAACACGGTGACATCACAATCTGCTCTGGAGGAACAAATGCCCTTTCCTTCATTCTTGGGGCCCGCCACTAAGCCGAAGTCACGGGGCATAAATACGATTTCCTTCATAAAGTTTGACTTGAAATATTGTACAAGCTGTCCCACTTTTGCTCCATTTCCATTAGCCTCCAATTAATCCAAAACTACAGTAAGGCAAGAGTGGCCGATGTTGCGAGTTTGATTTAGCTAAACAGCCATAGAATAGTGTTTTCTACGTCGAGCTCAGTTGGTCGATGATGAATACATGCGGCTTTCTTAAAATCAGTCGCCTTACTCGGTGCCTCTGTGCCTGTTTGCTTTTATTGATTCAGAGTTCCTACCAAGAGGTATTTCCTTCAAAACCTCTGTTTTTTATTGAAAAGAAGACTGTGAGACCATCCAAAGAGATTAAAAACAAGGCCTGCTCGGATTTATTTGTCGATGACACGCTAATAGAATGCTTTCTTAAAATCGACATGGAAAGCCTGCACTGCATTCCTGCCATCGACTGGCGGGGTCCAGCTATCTACACAATAGAGCAAGTTTGTCACGTACGACCCGCCACTACGCATTTCATGTTGATCTTCACATAGCAGATCCTGCTGATCTAGGATGCGCTTCAGACTTTTGAAGCAGACTTTGGAAGGACCAGGCCCAGACGGTTTGATTGTTGTCTTTCACGCACACTCGTCGGGAACGAGACATGCTGAGTATTAATAAACATGAACGTCATGTCTAGCAACCGTCAGGGGAATGTATGGTTTGAACGGGATGAGTAAAATGAAGGCAAGGTGGTTGCAGTTTGGTGTGCTACTTGCATCTGATGCTTTTTATGATGTATTTCAACGACTTCAGATACACTTACCACGTATGGAAGAGCCCACAAGGCAACTGTTTTTATTGCCCAGGTGCCCGTAGTGTTCGGAATACCTTTCTGATTAAGCTCTTCTTTCAGGCTATGGCGTGCATATTTATGCGGAAACAAATTGAAAGAAAAATAATTTGAAAGGGTATAGCATTTCTGCTTGAAAACATTCTTCGTCAGAGCAGTGTGTTTAAGCTCGGTTTGGGAGGCTGAAGGCAGTACCTCTCTTGTAAGAGAGGGGATGGTTACTCTCAAGATGTGGGATGAACTCGGAGTATGTTTATTTGCGATAAACGGAACTTTGAAGGGATTCAGCACTATTTCAGCATACGTGGACATCCAGAAATGGGAGTTGTCTATCAACCTCTGGCCCGAAAGTAAACACGATTCCAGGAAATGCAGAATTAGG